TATTTATTACTAGACTGAAAATAAATATATTTTATTCAAATAAAAGATTATTTAAGCAATCGTTTAATTTATTTTACTTTTTAGAACTTTATCATCAAATAAATATTTATTTTATGCCAATTAATATTTGTTTCAATTAATATTTATTTAAATTAATATTTATTTATTTTTTCTTAAATGCGGTGTCTGCAAAAAAATACCTTTTCAAAAAAGATATTTCTATTATTTCCGATAGAATTTGGGATGAAATGAAATTTTTTTCACTATAAGCAGAATTTTTAAATGGACCAAAGTGTGAAAGTTATAAAAAGCAAAAAAAGAATAAAAAATTTTTTGCAGATGGAACAATTCTGTTTTCATAAATGTCAAATATAAAGTCTTTCGAAATAGTGAAATTTATTATTTCATAGCAATTTTATTTGAATGTAGTTTTTTTCTACAGCTTGGGGCAAATTAGATAATTTTATTTCTGCTTTCCATTATTCGTGTTCGCTGTTTTAATTTTTTTAATGCCGAGCATGTGTTTTATAATAGCAACGACCATAATAAATTGAGATTAAATAATTGAAATAAGTTTAGACAATAAATTACGATTTTTATTTCCATTGTTGAAATATTATTCACTTGAAATTTGAAGAATAATTTTTTATACTTTCCTTCATTTTAATTCAAATTTTTTTATATATTTTTTTTATTTTGGTTCAACTTGCATTTATTAGTTTTAAATAATTATTTTATTCTATTAATATTAATTAATGTTCAGAAAGCTTTTTTATTATTATTACCAGTAATAATTCGATAATTAATTTATCAGATACTTGGCTTAAGTATTAAATAAATATTTATGAAATGAATATTTATTTATGAACTATTTAGTTTTAGTTATTGAGAAAAATATTTTAGTTACAAAAAAATATTTCGTTTTAGTTGTAGAGGAATATTTTTTAGTTGAAAAAAAATATTTAGTTTTAGTTATGAAGAAATAGTTTTTTAGTTACAAAAAAAATATTTTTTTAGTCATAAAAAAATATTTAGTTTTAGTTATAAAAAAATAGTTTTTTAGTTAAAAAAAAAATATTTTTTTAGTCATAAAAAAATATTTTTTCCACTCCATACAGACAATGGAAATATTTACAAAACAACATCGCGTGTTACATGGGCAATTTCTCTCTCAAAATCAAGATTAACCTCTCCTAAATCAACATCAATAATTGTAAACATTTAAGTGCGGTAAATGAAAACAATTTAGTGATTTTGTCAAAATGAAAATGAAAGGAACAATTGAAAAATAATTGTGGCCAGTATTTTATATACATAGAAATGGAAATTAGATGGATAATATATGCATATGTATTAAAACATTTGAATGTTATCCTTTCTTAGCCCCCTCGCCCCTCCCCCTTTCTGCGTAGCATGTGGCATCGCCCCAAGCGCGTCTAGTATTCGTTCCTGGTTCCGGCACTCTGTCAAGTGCAGTTGAATGGCCGAGATTCCACGATAAAACTCACGGGAAGAGTTTGTGTCATGCATATAGGAAGGGAAAAGAAATGCCTTGTATTACACGTGCAAGGTCAAGTAGTAAGGGACCTTGAATTTGCAAACATTACCTTCATATAAGTACTTTGTCTCCAATCTGTGACGTGTGCCCGCAGATGAAAAAGTTCTATAGAATTTCACTAGAACGGTTCTATACAATTTCTACATGAATTCTACTGATTTTTAATTAAACAGAATTTAAATGCATGAAATAACATTTTTCAACTTTATACTATTGTGTATTTAAATTTTACATTTGATTTATATGACAAAATTTAGGGTAAAAATTGTTTTTATCATTTAAATATATATTTAACTTAGTAACAGGACTCGAACCAGTGAAAGTATTTAAAAATACGGATATTACGGACCAATTACTGACAAAAATTTAACCACTCCGAGACAAATAAGAGAACATTTTACTTAAAATAAAAGTACAAATTAAATTTTTTCATAACTATAATAATTAATTATTATTTATAATAGTTAATTATTTATAATAATTAAAAATGGCAAATTGATAAAATAATTATTTTATATTATAAGAATATTGTGCTTCTTTAAAATTATTTTCATCATTTCAATTATTCAATTATTATTTTTAAGAATTTTTCACTAAAACATTTCTTTAAATCAATTAATTTTCAAAAAAGTTCCTCTACAATTTTCAAAATCCATTTATTTACAATATTCAATTTTACAAACATTCAATTATTCGTAAATTCTTCAATTAAATATATATTAGAAAATAAAAACTGCAAATAATATAAAAAAGATTCAATTACACGTTTTCAAAAAAATTAATTTCAAAATTCAATTATTTCTAAAAATTTACGCTATATTTCTATTATTATTCAATTACTATCTTAAATTTTAACTGAAATTCAATTTTTAAATAATTTTTTATTAGAAAATTCTACTAGAATTCAATTATTTAAATACAAAAATAAATAATTTATTGGATTAATTTGTTTTTTATTTTTGAACATAACTGAAATTTTAAGTGAAATTTATCTTTAAATCAAATTTTTATTAGAAAATTCTACTAGAATTCAATTATTTAAATAAAAAAAATAATTTATTGAACAATTGTATTCTCAGAAAAATGTTTATCAACAAATTTTTATTAATAGAATTCTTTTGACGAATTTTAATAAAAGTTCTAAGAATAATTACACTTTTCAAGGAATTCCATTAAAATTGTATTAAAAAAATTGAAATTTAGTATTGAGTTTTATTAATTATGAAAATAATTGAATTCCTAAAAGAAATTTTATTTACGAAAATAATTGAATTCCACTAATTCCAGTGAAAATTTTATTACGTATGAAAATAATTGAATTATTTAAAAGAAATTTATTAAAAATTTTGTAAATAATTTAATTCTTGTGAAATTTTGCCAAAAATTTTATTAAAATTTTTAAAAATTATTGAATTTCGAAGACGAATTTTATTATTTATAAAGATAATTGAAATATTGACGAGAATTTGTTTTTAATTTTTGCACATATTTGAAATTTTGTGAAGAATGTTTATAACTTTTGAAAATAATTGAATTTCTGCAATAATTTGTAACTTCTCCAAAATTAAATTTTTTTAGTGTTAACTAAAATTTTTCTATATATCCATTATTTTAAATTTTAATTAATTTTTGAAATAGTTTTTCACTTTTTTGAGAACTTTCAAATTCATTTGTTTTTAACTGAAATTAATTTTTAAATCAATTTTTACTATAAAATTCTACTAGAATTCAATAATTTAAATACAAAAAATAATTTATTATGCATATTTGAATGTTTCCTAAATTTTAATTCTCATAAAGAATTTTATCAACAAATTTTTAAATAATTAAATTGAGGAAAATTTTTGAAAATAATTGAAATTTTGACAAGAATTTTTAAGAATTTATAAACAAAATTAAATTTCTGCTAAGAATCTTATTACTTTTGAAAATAATGGAATTTTGCAATCATTTGTAATTTCTCCAAAATTTTCCAATTTATATCGTACAATTTACGAACTTTTTTCCTTTTTTAATCAAATTACGAACTTTACGGACTTTACGGACCTTTTATAAAAATACTAATTTTTCCGGAAAAATTTTAATGTAAATTCTTCTTGAAACTATTTACTTTAAATAAATTTTACTTTCTGGAAATTTTCTAATAATAAAAGTTTTTGAATGTAACATTTCTTGCAAGTAAAACTTTTCTAAAGTGATATTTTACTTAAAATTTACTTAAAGTAAAATTTTTTTGGAGTAAAAATTTATTTGTAGTAAAAGTTTCTTAAAGACAAATTTTCTTAAAGTAAACTTTTCTTACGGTAAAAGCTTTTGGAGTAAATTTTTCTCAAAGGGAAGATTTCTTTAAGTAAACTCTTTCCATAGTAAAATTTACTTGAAGTAAATGTTTCTTAAAGTCAAAATTTTCTCCAGATAAAATTTTCTTTGAGTAAAATTTACTTGAAGCAAACGTTTCCTAAAGTAAAATTTATTTGAAGTTAAAGTTTCTTAAAGTAAAATTTAATTGAAGTAAAAGCTTTTTAAAGTAAAATTTATTTGTAGTAAAAGTTTCTTAAAGTATCTTTTCTTACAGTAAAAACTTTTGGAGTAAAATTTTCCTAAATTCAAGTTTTCTTTAAGTAAACTTTTTCCAAAGTAAATTGTACTTAAAGTAAACTTTTTCAAAAGTAAATTATACTTCAAGTAAACTTTTTCCAAAGTAAATTGTACTTTAAGTAAAGTTCCACAAAGTAAAAACTTTTTCCAGATAAAGTTTTCTATGAGTAAACTTTACTTGATGTAAAATTTTCAAGTAAACGCGTGAAACTATTTTCAATGTAAAATTCCCTTGCGAAGTGAAATTTCCATCGAATTACCCCAGAAAAAAAGTAAATTCTTCTCCCCTTTCTCTCCTCCACCTCCGTAATCCTTCTCTCAAGTTCATTTACTTCTAATTACTCACTCCTAATTACCATTCTCGACTAACAGCTAATTATCTAATTGGTATTTTGTTACCAATTATCCGTCTGATAAAATATCCAATTGCGTAATTATAAAAAAAAAAGAAAAAACAAAATATCAGTTTCCTTCAATTTATAAATTGCTGTCGTCAATTTATAAAAATTGCTTCTTATTCCGGAAAAAGAGGGAAATAAACCTAAAATCACTTCCTTGAAGGCACCCCTTTTCTTCTCGATCTTATGACAAAAAAAAGCCACACTGTCTCCAACCCACCTCTTTGTTTTTACTTAGAGAAAATTGAGAGAGAAAGAAAAGAAAGGAAAAAAATGACGATAATAATAATAAAAAAAAAGATGCATGGAAATAGTGACTGTTATGCCCGTAACACCGAAAGTAGCTATTGTCTGATGGTTTTTAAATAGGTGGAGAGGCATTAAGAGCGATGGTTAAATGAAGTGGACGGTGAAGTGGAACGTGAAATGGACGTCTTTGATTTCAGGATGAGTTCCATCCATTCATTGAGGCCCTCCTACCATTCGTGAAGTCATTCTCCTACACGTGGTTTAACCTACAAGCGGCAAAAAGGCGTTACTATAAGAAGCACGAGAAACGGATGAGTCTCGAAGAGGAACGACAGTGCAAAGAGGAACTCCAAGTGAGTAATATTCAATTATTTTAATGTATTTACTATTTTCTACTTTTTTTTTTTACTTTTTCCACAACTCTCTTTATTTTAATTATTCATTTTTTTACTACCATATGTTTTTTTTACTATTTTCTATTTTGTTACTACTTTCTATTTTTTTAATTATTTTCTATTTTTTTACCATTTTCTACTTTTACTACTATTTTCTATTATTTTACTATTTTCTATTTTTCCTACTGTTTTCTACTTTCTACTATTTTTTATTTTTCCTGATGTTTTCTACTTTTTACTAATTTCTATTTTTCCTCCCTATTTCTATAGCTTTCTACTTTTTTAAAAAAATGTTTCTCTATTTTTTCTCCTTCTTGATACATTTTTTTCTACTTCCTTAGACTTTATTTGTACAATTTTCTATTTTTCTACCATCCCCTATTTTTCTACTATTTTCCATTTTTTCTATTTCTTACTATTTTTTAGTTTTCTACTATTTTCTTTTTTTTCTTCTGTTTTCTACTTTTCTTCACTACTTTTCTATCTTTTCTCCCTTTTTTCTACTTCTTTCCACTTTTTTTTTTACTATTTTTCTATTTTTTTCTACTTTTTTTACTCTCAAAGTCTACATTGTTTTTTTTTTACTAATTGAAGAGTGCGTATTCGTTTACCAATTAAATAGAACGAATTATACTACTTTGAAGTAGAAAATGTCATATTTGAAAGTAAAAAAATTTATTAATTGAAATAGCCAAGTTTTACTATATTAATTAATAGATATTTTACTATGAAATTAATAATTTTTTTTACTATAAAATTAGTAGTTTTCTATTATCAAATTAGTAGTATTCTACTAATTAAGTTTAGTAGTTTTAATTGAGATATAAATTTTGTACTAAAAATTAGTAAAATTCTTTACTATTTAAGGGGATTTGAACCTTGATGACGTCACAGTTTGTGCAAAGCATTAGTTTTAAATCTGTGACGTCATCATGGTTCAAATGCCCTTAATTTATTAATGAATCCGCACTCTTTAGTTAGTAGAAAACTACTAATTTAAATTTAGAGTTTAGAAAAAAAGTAAAAAAAAAGTAGAAAAAAATAAGAAAATAGGAAAAATATAGAAAAATAGTAAAATAAAATAGAAAGAAGTCGGAAAACGTAGAAAAAATAGGAAAATAGTAAAATAAAGTAGAAAAATAGGAAAATAGTGAAACAAAGTAGAAGAAAATAGAGAAAATAAAATAATAGTTAAAAAATATACAGAAGAAAAAAAATGAGAAAAAATAAAAAAATAGTAAAATATAAAAAAGAAGTAGAAAAACAGAAAAAATAGAAAAAGAAAATGGAAAAAGGAGAAAAAATAGAAAAACAATCAAACAAAGTAGAAAGAAGTAGGGACAAGGAAGAAAATAGAAAAATACTAAAACAAATAAGATGGAAATAGAACAAAAAATAGTAAAATAAAGTAGAAAGAAGTAGGAAAACGTAGAAAAAAGTAAAAAAATAGTAAAAAAAGTGAAAAAAATAAAATAATAGTTAAAAAATATAACGTGGGGAAAATGAGAAAAAATAGAAAAATAGTGGAACAAAGTAGAAAGAAATGGGAAATAGGAGGAAAAAAAGTAAAATAAAGTAGAAAAAAATCGGAAAACGTAGAAAAAATAGAAAAATAGTAAAACAAAGTAGAAAAAATCCAAAAAATAAAATAATATTTAAACAAAATAGAAAAAAGGATGGAAAATTAGAAAAATAGTTAAAAAAAGTAAAAAAAGTAGGAAAAAGCACAAGAAGTAGAAAAAATAGAAAAAATAGAAATTAAAAAAAGGAGAACAAACAGAAAAATAATAAAACAAAGTATAGAAAAAAGTAGGGACAGCGATAAAATAGAAAATTGGTAAAAATGTAAAAATAGTAAAAAAAAACAGAAAATAGAAAAATTTCTACAATTTGCTGTCGCAAGAAATGTAGAAAAAAAGTGGAAAATAGTAACAAAAAGGTAGAAACAAGTAGAAATAAATATAAAATTATTTATTAACATTCTCCAAACATAATTCACTTTTGTGATTTATTTTTACATAAAGTAAAAAAATATCAATAATTTTGAACTTTCGAAAAAGTTATCCTCCATTTAAATTTTTATTTCCACAAAAAAAATTTCTAAAATTATATTTATAAATTTCTCGTTTCTCCTTCTTCTTATCTTTCGAATATTGTGAAGACAGTAATTTTTTGGTTCAAATATTACATTAGTCTAAATAATTCGAGGGTTGACAGGTCCATTTGATATTTATTTTCCCTTCAATCAAAATTATCTCTACTCGAATGGTCCCCTATTTGGTTGAAAAAATTGAATCAATTGTATTCTGATCTGATTAAAGTTATGCGGCTAAAATTTTGTACGTTCAAATATTTTTTTTTTCATTTTAAAAATTTTTTAATTCTATCCCTACTTTTTGTTTTATTGAAAAATATTATTTATTGTATATTAGAAAAAATTAATTTTTAAATAAGTAAATGTTGAATGTTGAGTATTTTTTTGAATCAAAGAAAATTTTTTTGCAACAAATAGAATTTTTTTTAACCAAATAAAATTAATTCAAATGAAATAAAATTTATTTGAACGAAGTAAAACTGAATCGAAATAATTTATAAATAAATTAAAGAATAGTAAATTAATTGATAAAGAAATTAAAAATTAATTAAACGTTTAATATAGAAGAAAAAATTTTGTTTAACAAATTTCAGTGAAATTTAAAGTCGAAGAGAATTTTTTCTTTGCTGCAGTACTTTTTTTAAAATTTGATAAAATTTCAATTAGTCTTGGTTAAAATTTATTGTTATAAATTCAGAGAGAGCGTTGACCAAAATTTTGTTTCAAAAGTTGTTGATTTAGGATTTCGAAATAGGCTGAATTTTTATTTCTTTTTTTCGAATCCCCCTACCACTAGTTCTTCTCTCTACCGCAATTCGCATTCTCCCTCGCGACGCCGGTCGATCAATATTTTAATCCCGCGATGCTGCGGTATTTAGCGGGTAGACGGTTGGATTTACACACTTATGCGGAAAAGGATTTTTTCTTTCCAAATCGATCGATTTCTCTGGATTATATATTTTAATCAAATAATCTGTGGTTTTCGTTATACTTTATATTTGAGGGGATTTTTCATATTTTAAATTACTCGATATTAGTTTTTCTCTTTTCTTTTTTTGCTGCGCGAATCTGCATACACGTGCGGACTATTTCGTATATGTAATGTAAATTTTTTTCCTTAAATTTTTTTCTTTTTTTCTATTTTTTGTTTATTTTTTATTTTTTTAGTTTTCTGTATGTTTTTATTTATTTATTCATTTATTTATTAATTATTATTAATAATTTCTAGTTGTGTATTTATTTTTTTCTATTCTTTTTTCTTTTTTTTTGTTTTCTTTTTCTGTTTGTTGCTTCTTTAGTTGGGAGTTATTAATTTTTATTTGAGTATTTATTAATAATTAAATGTGTAATTCATGAGCGATGAGAATTTATTGACAATTACAAATTCCATGTTTATGAAATGAATCGTTTTGTGTTAATATCTGTGTCAGTGATTTAAAATTAGGCGATATATTGACTGCCTTAACTGAACTAGCATCACAGTTGGCAAAGGATATGATTGTGTTTATGAACTATAAACCTTCAAATCACTTTCTGTTTCCTTATGGAGAAAGTCACTTTTAGAACTTGAAAACTCAAAAAATAAAAAAAAATATAATAATAAAATTAACTACAATTTAACTTAAAAAAATCTTTAGTCAAAACAAAATAGTCGAAATAAAATAGCCAAAAAAAAAATTCAAAGCGAAATAATTATTTATAAACATAAATTCTTTTGGGTTTTTCGGATTTTATTTCATATATTCATTTATTTATTTACTTATTAATTAGTTTATTTACTTATTAATTTATATATTTACCTATATAAACAAGATAAATAATGCGACGAAAAAATAGTTTCTCCTATAATAATTTACCTTTATTTATAACATTTTAGTTTTTTTTCATTTAAAGATCTAGAAAAAGAAGAATTTCTTAAGTTTTAATTTTTTTTTAAATTTTAAGTTAACAAATTTTATATTTTCCGAGAGACATTCTAATTAGTTAAATATTGCTAATTTTCTGCAAAATTTCGGACCACATTTACAGATCACTATTACTTTGACAGCATACCATATTGGATCGAAATTCATAACCGATATTTCTATCAATTATCAAATTATAAATTGTTTCGAATTTTGTTATTTAATTCATCCAATTTGGTACCAATGTCATACCTTCGAGAATTTAAATTTAAATTATTAATTATTATTATTACTATTATTACTTAAATTTACTAATTTTTCTATTAATACTGAATAATTAGTATTTTTTATTCTTAATAATTTATTTTATTAATAGGCCTAACATTTTTTTATTACTAACAAATGATTAGTATTCTATTATTATCAGTGTGATAGGTAAATTTTTTATTATTAGGGTAATCTGTCGTTTGAATTCATTATTTTTTTTTAGTGTATCAATTATTAATAATAAAGTAACTAGCAACAATTCTTACTGCCTTTTTAAAATAAAATTAGTAATTTTAAAAATAATAGAATTTAAAATTTTTCTAATTTAAATTTTTGTTGAAAACACTGAAAAAATTCAATTTTGGAGAAATTATAAATAATTGCAGAAATTCAATTATTTTCAAAAAAAAAAATTCTTCTTATAAAATTCAACTATGTTCAAAATTTGACAAAAATTCTCGTAAAAATCCTAATTTTATCTTTACAAATAACAAAATTCTTCTCCAAAATTCAATTATTTTCATAAATGTCAAAAAAATTCTTATCCTAATTTTCAATTATTTTCAAAAATAAAATGCATTTTTCTAATTTCAATGATTTTCAATATCTACTATTTTAATAAAATTTCCCAAAAAGAATTCAATTATTTAAAAAATTTTTTAATAAAATTGTATGCAAACATTTAATTATTTTCATAAATAATAAAAATTTCGCAG